TCACCTTTTATTACATGGAGTCTACTACTTAGTTTCTAGTTTTAGAAATGTGCAATGATCCTAGAAATTGTTGCACTTGTGTGGTACCTGGCAGGAAAAAAATAATATAAGTTTCTGGATTTCTCGAATAATACCTCTTAAAGTATTTATTTTAATTTTGTACTTTGGTTATCAATGAAGGTCAGCTGGGGCATAACAGGTTTAAAAAGTTTTTTATCTATAAAATGTTTTCTTTTGTATTTTACTAGCAATTCATTTTCTTTCTGGTTGCAAGCAATAAGCCTGGCCCCCTGCAGCTGATTTTGGGAGGAAGGCCTTTTGTAGTAGAGTAATAGCACAGGAAATCACAATTTTCTCCTCTTGCTGCTACTGAACATCAAAGGAGGCAGACTAAATCTATCTCACATATCTTTTGTTATGGAGCTGCTCTTCTCTCTTTAACTATAGACATACTATAATAAGATGAAGGCTGTGCAGGTCAAATCAAGTCTGCTTCCTCAAAACACTGGTTTTATTTCCATAGTGGTTTAATAACCAAGTCCTGGCGCAAGACTCTTTTGTGATAGGCACTGTAAAAACAGTCCTTCCCCAAAGAATGCCACTACCATTTGCCCTCTCTTGCCCTCCTCTTTCCATCTTCCACTAAATTCAGCAGTGGGGGAAAAATGGAGCTGTGCTCACATGCTAGCCCCTGGAGTTATGGAAAAGCCAGGGCTCTAGTCAGAGCCTGTACTGATCACATAGTGAGCTCACAGCATGTGTAAAACTCTGGCAGTTGCTTCATGGACATGACTGTCCAGAGAGTTCATGGCACATATGCCACAGAGCCAAATGCAGTGTGGCTGCACTCCCTTAACGTCCCTCCTGAATGTGTCCATGGATGTGCGTAGACCAAAATGGCAGCCGCTGCAATACCCACCTTCAGCAGTAAAAAGACCTGTTATTTGTCAAGAGAAGGTTTTCAGTAAAGTTACGAACCCTTCTTTCACAGGTCATGGACTTCACAAGAAGGAAGAAGAGAATTCCCCAGCACTTCCGCTACATTAAAGGGGTGGAACAGCTTAATAAATGGGTGGCTTGTGCAATTTGCCCTGGAGATTCTTATTAATGGTATGCATCATGATACTCAAATGATTACAAGAATGTCTGCATATGAAACTTGAAGCTATTGGAACCAAGAAAGCTCCTTTCTCTTTGAAAAGATAAAAAAAATACCCAAATAGGTTCTACTAAAGACGAAATAAATATTTAAAAAATTAATTCCCCACCATATTTCCCCAAAATGCATAAAAGCATGCAGAATTCTTACCATCTGCACCTGTCATATGATGAACATTCTCTGCATCTTTTAATGATTTAATATCTCCATTAGCCACAATAGGTATAGATATGTTTTGTTTAATTATTTTGATTGCATCATAGTGTACTGGCTGATGTCTTTCTTCTACACTTCTTCCATGAACTGTAATCCAGGAAACTCCAGTTGCTTCTGCTTTTCGACAGAGGTCTACAGTTCTCTTTAGATCATCATGGATCCTAAAATTCCAAGGAATGGAATTATCACCCAATAAATATCTGAACTGTGTGAAAATCTGTTATATAGCAGAGTTAATAAGAGCTGTACAAATGAGAGAACATTACCATTGGAAGATTCATTATAAAAGACGTGTGTTTAACACACTATTTTAATGTCTCTCAATTTAGTATTGTCACATTAGATTGAGTCCCTAAACTAAAAGTGGGCCAAGTTTTTGCCAAAACACTGAAAGACTTTTTAAATAACTTTTTATTTTGCATAATTTTATACTACACTGAAAACTTTCCCATTTCTCTTTCACATTTCTTTTCAAGAGATCCCAAACTACTTCTCAACTAAATTTAATGAACTGATATGAAAAATCTACCTCAGAATCATTTCATTCATTGAAAAGCCACATAACAGAGCAACACCTCACATGTTTAGGAGGTAATGAAATGAAGGATATCTTTTGCCACCCGAAGCCGAAGAGGGAATTCAAACAGGCAGATTAACTCAAGTTGGAGTTTATCAAGGAATTCAATGACATTTTCAAACAACTACAACTGGTCAAGATCCACTTTTTATATCTAATCCAAAATTCAGCCTCCTTACCTGAGCAATGCTGTTAATACTACAATACATCATTAATTGTATTCTAATAGGGTGTATCTACACATGCAACACGATCCTCAGCTTTATGATACTCATGCTTCAGAACCACAGTTTCACTCTCAAGACCATCGATGGACAGGAAAGCCACCCTAGAAATCTTAAGAATGGTGTCCCACAAGGCTCTGTACTTTCTCCATTGCTTTTCAATGTGAGATAGCGTTTGCAAGGCAGCGCATGCAAGGAAGCATGCTCAAGGCAGAAATGGATGTGGTCCTCAACAGGTTCCCAAAATTCACTAAGTGGCCCTCCAGCTGAAATAAAGAACTACAGTACAATTCATGCTGGAGTCAAATGCTCCCGGGTGCAGTGTCTTCATGTGTGCTCAGTATCGCAGCTGTTTGAGCTGGAGTGGAGCAGCTCCAGGCTGGCAAGGGGCTGGGGGTGTCAGCCCTGGGATCCAGGTGGTGGTGTTGGGCAGCGAAAAGACTTGCTGGGTCATGAGGGTGCTACGGTTCCTGGCTAGGTGGCAGGCAGCCCCCTCTCTACAGCACCTTCATGCCCCAGCTAGCCTCAGTCGCTGTCTACATGTGCATTTTGGTGCACTAAATGATTCTGCCGTAGGATAGTACTTGTCCCAGATGGTACATTTTACAGTGGAGTTAATTAATTTACTGCACCCTAATATGGGTGCACACGTAGGCGGTGATGCTTTTCTGCAGAGGTAATTAGCTCTGCAGTAAAGTGCACATGTAGATGTACCCACAGAGGAAGAATGCCACTAACTCAGCATCACTTCCTGTTCCACACTGGTGTTCTTTAGGGAGTGTCCACCCACATTTTAATTCTGCCCAATTCTTTTTCACAAGGTTACTTGGCAAACAACAGGCAATATGCTTGTACAAACCATACAAGTTGTTTGCAATCATTTTACCTTTATTGGATTCTGAACTCTTGAAATTATGCTTGCACTTTGCATGTTACTGCACATTTGGAGAGAAGGAGTCTCAGAGTTATGCTGATTGCAATTGTGTCAGATTGGGATTACAAATCCCCAAATGCATTTTGGATGAGAGTGCAAATGGATGTCTTGGCTCCTCAGGGTTGTTAACAATTTTGGGGATGCCTTACAGGCAAAAAGTAGACTCTCAATCACCACATTTCAGGAAATCTAACATATTTCCCATGAAATATTCTTCATTGTACCATGATATAGAAAAGGCCTAAATTTACCTTATTTTAATAGATACTGAAAATCTGGGGTTCTCCACTTGATTTCTTACTTGTCTGACCATATCTCGAACTAGCTCTGGTTTATTTATTAAACAAGCACCATAACCTTCTGCCATTGCCCACCTGTAAATTAAAGAGAACAAATCTGCATTGTACATTTGCAAAACAAAACAACTCAACCTAATGGCCATTTCAGTTTCTTTCTTTACTTGCTTGTGAATTATCTGATCAGCACAGAACTAGGCAGAAATAGTACTGGCTATAGATGAAAGATGTTCTTTTGGATAAAGCACTAGGTATCAGGAAATCTAGGTTCAGTTTCCAGTTCTACCACAGATTTCCTGTGCGACTTTGAGCAAGTCTTTGACTCTGACTCAGTTCCTGCAAAATAGTGATAAAATTTCCCTAACCTCGTAAAGATTTATAAATATTTTTGTAAAGTGCTTAGGTATTACTGTGATACAGGCCATGTAACCACTGGTAGGTGAATTTTATTAAGGTTTTATCTTCTTTATGGAGTTGTGGACTATTTTCAAGCAGCAATGACAGAAGAGGATAAAGAATAAGCTATTCAAATCTGGTTCTTATCTGTCTGTAAATTACCTCCCTTTAAAACTGACAGTGAAAACTATGCCTTCAAATGGGTGAGAGGATAGATATATCCTTTCCCAAATCCAGCTACATCTATTTATTGGGATATTTAAGTAATTTGTTCCAGCAGGTGAATGTTTAAGTTAACAAGATAACATAGTGCTCTTTTTTTTTTTTTTTTTGAAACGGAGAACTTTTGTCTCTTGTGAATATTAAATATAACTTTTGATCAGACAGAAACTTCCAATCTGACAGTTTTCAAAGCAGCTGGGTTGAAAGGTGGAGACTAAGATTCTTGTATTTAATTATAAATTTGCTTTCAGTTTTCCTTTCCTATATTTGCCAGTTAATGTTTTCACTCGGTAAAAAAGTTGCATACTAAATACTTCCAATACCACTTATAAATAAATAGTATGCAACTGAACCAGTTAATGGATGTCTTTACTTGAGCATGATTATTTTCAATCTGATTAGGGCAGTGGGATTATTTTCACTCTTTGGCCTGTGGGCCAGGGCCCATGGGACTCCCCACAGCTCCAGAAGTTTGGTATTGAGGGAACGGTGGCAACTGCTCCTCCACTGTCAAATTCCCAAGTCCTGCAGGCCAGATGGCAGAGCCCTGAATGTAGGGCTAGGGCTGGGGCTAGAAACCTGCACCAGGTCAACACTGTACACCTGCCGGATCCAGCCTGCATATGGACCTGGCACCACTCATCTGGCCTGAAGGGCCAAAAGGTTGGTTATCACTGGATCAGGAAGTGATATACAGGAATAAAGTCATTAAGATAGTAAATAAGGCATATATATGTGTGGGCATGTAATATATAATGTAATATATGCATATACACACAAATATGTGTGTGTGTATATATATAATATAAGCATACATATATATTATGCACATTATTTAGATATATTATATACACACAAAAATCAAAAGACATAAGCTTTTTCATCACCAAATGAACTACACAGTCACAGCTTAATGCAAAAAGAGAGAGTTCAGAAGGTGCTCTTTGTAGAAGTCTTCCAGGCATCAGGATTTAACACTATCATTCTGGTGACTGACATGGTTTCCCCTTAATGTACTTTTCAACTTACTTGTGAGAAAGCTCTCACTCTGTCTGGGAAGTTAGCATGCACACTTTTTAGGGCCCTTGTTAATTCACTGTTAATAATAGCCCACTAGGTGGTGCCCATTCACTATATTAAGTCAAAACTCAACCTAGCTCAGGGGTTGGCAATTACCTGGACTGGAAAGTCATTTAAAAAGTTTTGGTGAGCTGTTGGGTGGAGGGGGGAGTGCTGACCCAGCCCAGCAGAAGGAGAGGGGGAGGGGTGCTGACCCAGCTTGGAGGGGGGATCAGTAACTGATCCATGAAGACCCCACCAGCCGTCTAGCACCCCTGGCAGTGGGTATATGGTGGATGGGCTGGGATGGCCAGGCAGTAGGGCCAGGAGGCAATGGAGACAGTGGCATCAGCAGGTGGGAAGAATGAGCTATCACTGTGGGGGCTGCCAGGAAGCTAAATCCAGCTGCCCTGTCTCCCCCACCCTGCTGCATGCCCATGGTCTGGGTTTCTGCCTGCACTTGGGCCAGGAGGGGCTGAGGGACCAGCCGCAGGCCAGATAGAATTGCTTGGTGGCCCAGAGCCAGCCAATGGGTCATATTTTGCCCATCCCTGACCTAGAAGGAAAGAACAGCAGCTTGGCAACAGTGCCTAGATTCCGCTGTACTTTATTAAGAAAACAAATCAAACCTTTCTATATATAAGGACCGCCACTGAATTATTAATATTTTATTAATATTTGGACACCAAGGGAAATTACATTTTTTCATTTTTACATTGATTTTTCCCTAATTTTTTCCATACATTCATCCAACCTCTTTAAAGCCTTTACCTCTGAGGACAACCACAGTTTAAATCTATTCCATCTGCAAAGGGACAGACGATACAGGCAGCATCTGATAAAACCTGTGCTTCTTTAGCAGCAAATTGTACAATCAGTGGGCGATCACCTAGTCAGATGAAGAGCTGTTTAGAATATAGTAATGCATACTACACAAGACACTTATCCTTCATAATTCTTGAAAATCAGCTTGAGACTCCATAAAAACCAAATTTTATGATCAAACTGCATCAGATTTTTTTTTAAATTAATACATTGAGAATTCTAAGTTCTGAACATTTTGTTACTTCTGGAAAATGTCCAACATTTGTATATTTACTTTGTTGACATCATTAAAGATAAGTTTCTAATATTATACCATTGTCAATAACTAGTGCTACAATGCATTGTTTTTCCATACATATTTATTTCAATATCAGGATTCCACTCTATTCACAGAAGAAAAATTAACATCAATGGGAAGAAATAGACAGAAAACATTTTCAAGCTCTCTTATTTTTTGAATGCTTTGATAAAGACAATATAAGGGGACCTCAAAAACTGTAAAGAACAGGGTTCTTGAATTGTTGAAAGAAACAGGTGTCTGCTGAGGCATCTCAATCCTAAATGAGCATTTAAGCAACACTTACATTTCTTCCAAGTAGCAACAAATACGATTGTCACTATTAAAGAAGACCAAATATCTGAGGGCATATTTGTGCTTCAAAATACCTGTATATACAGAAAGGTAACGGATCTGTTCTACCTGAGTAATGCATTTGTGAGGATTATCAGTACTAACATCAAAAATAACTGCACTGCTGCTAACATATAAGCCACTAAATCTGAGCTATCATTAGTAAATAGTACAGGGACCCTGCAAATTCTCCAATCTCCACCAACAAGCTTCCTCTGTGCCATCCTCTCATGCCTTCTCCCAAATTTGCTGCACTTCATACCTGGTCTCCACTAGCTCTTCTTTTGTGTCTGTTAGAATCCAAGTCACTGGCAGACAATTTCACCCTATGACAAGTTCAGGGGCTGCCTCTGTTATGGATAGACAGTAACAGCAGCAAGGGGTAACAGAGATTTCTCTGCTTGTGCTGCTAGCCAGTCTAGTTGGCCTGATTTTCCTGTGAACCAATCAGAATTTTCAATATCTCTACTTGTGCAAATATCAAAGGTTGGACCCATGGATGCCTAGCACAGTTTGAGAGTTTGAAATTGGTCATGAGTGGTGTACCCAAGTTTTATTACATACCTTTGAAGTTGAGGGCTAGACCTCACTTACTCAAAGTCAATTACTGCATAAAATCATTAGAAAATGCAACAGAATAAGAATTACATACCTCGGTTTGTTGTGAATTCACTGTCTCTAGCTTTAACAGATCTGACAAAGTCAGCAGCAACTATCATTGGTGTATAACACAAATCACAGTTGTATTTCCTGACCAAAGTTCGGAAAGCCAACCTGTAAGCATAAGAACATTTGACTTGGGGAAAAGAATCACAATTACACAATCACAAGTAAAGGCACTGATCTCCCAAATAAGCTGTTTTAAAATTAAATTAAAGTGTTTTTGGCCATGTAGCTCAGGTACAGTGGGTAATCTACCTGGTACCATAAGATAAACAAACATGTTCTGAAGTATATTTTCCCCAAGTATAAAAATAAATGATTAAAAAATAAATGCACTATTTTTATACTCAATACAATGCATTTACATGATAAAAGCTTTGATGACATATGGTTAAGGCTGACAAGTTACTTACTTTGAATAACGGACCATAGGGGCACATATTTTCACAATGTGCCCAGAATGAAACAGATCTACTGGATCTCTCAGAAGACATTCTGGGGTGTCTGTGGTGTCACAGATCATGTATAAATTCTAGGTCTTTTTAAATCTAGAAAAAAACAAAACAAAGTTTAAAACAGGAACCCTGCTTTCTATGCTCAGTTTTCATACTTTACAGCAAGGGGAGATTCTTCATCCAAGAATAAATTCTATTCATTGTTTGTCTAACCTCATACAAATAACAGTTTGAGGTGGGAGGAGGGACCTATTATTAGGGTCCAGGAGCAACACTATGGTGAAAACCTGTTGCATACTAACCCACTGCCTCTCCCAGTTATCGGTAGAGTTCATTGATTATCTTAGATTTCCTACTTAGATTTTACGTGTGCCCTTTAGTATGTTCCTTGTATTTAATATTACAACACAAAACAATAGATTTACAAATATATTTTTATTCTGCTTACTCCATACAAATTCAATGGTGTATCTCAATTAACTGAAATGTAATAGATTGTGCAGAAACTCAGCAAAATGTATGGAGCTTGAGAAAGGCTTGGGAATATACTATGCAAGAGTTCACCAATCTTCCTCAGCATTGGATGAAGGAAGCTGCTGCTAACAAAAACATCTCTGATTTAGTCTGCCTATAACAGTGATTCTCAACCAGGATCCTGCGGCATGTTCGGTTGCTTTGAGATCCTTTCAAGGGTGCAACGATAGCGCCGGTAGGTGTGTAAACACGACTCACAAGGCAAAGCCAGAGATTTCAAATAGGAATCCACAGTGTTAGGGGCAGCTTGACCAGCTGTGGACTTCCTGAGCTTTTTGCAACACAAATGAGTCAACAACTGAGTGAAAGCGAAGAGTTGGCAGTCTCGGAGGGTGGCTTGAGTCTAACATGGGTTGGGCTGAAAACCACCGATCTACTAGGCCCCTGATACACATCACGTGTATTATTCAATTCACAGGTGAACTGCGCAATAAACACGGACTGGCCACGCGGTACATACATTACGTACTGGAGATCACTGGCAAATGGTGCAATACATTGAGACCGGCCAGGCGTGCAAAGCAATAATTGTGCCATAAAAACGTCCCTGGCTACGGGGAGCCAACCCACCACCAAGTCAGTGCTTGAAACCGTGTAACAGCTTTAGAGTTGGTTTCTATCCAGCTTCAACCTGAACGTGTGGCAGTGCCCTAGCGAGGGGGCAGACCTGCCTGGCCCTTCTGGGGCAGGGAAACCCAGGGGCGCGACGCGCCGACGCGCCGCCGCGCCGAGCCCAGGCGGGAGCGGAGAGGATGGAGCGGGTGGATAAGAGGGCAGGGAAAAGCAATGAGCACGTGGGGCAGGACGGACACCCGCCGCCGCTCCCGGTCCCGCCCCGCCGGCTCCACGTTACCTGCAGGAGACAGACACAGCATGACCCGCGCGACCTTTGCCCCCTGACCTCCCCCAGCCGACCAATAGGAATCGCGGAGGCGCTGCCCGGGGGAGGGTTTAGCTTCGTCGCTTGATTCTTGCGTCATGCTGGAGTGGTCGCAGCGCAGTGACGCAGCCCTACCCTCCCCCCGCACCTGCCAGCATGGAAGCGGGGGGCGGAAGCGCGGTCCAGGGACCGGCGCTCGGGGAGCTGCTGGCGGACGGTGAGGGGGACTGTGGAGGGGTCTCCTAGCATTGGGGGGCACCTCCTTCCTTGGGGGCCCAAAATAGCCCGCACAGGGGCTGGGCGCTGCGGGGCGCCCTCCTGGGCAGGACCAATGCCTGGAGCAGCCTCTGGCTGCAGCCCTGCAAGGGGCTCCTGCCACCCACTTCTGCTTTCTGCTCCCCGTTCCCTCCGCACACGCTGAGGCTTACCTGTGCCCCTGGTTGCCCCCCAGATTAGTGGTGCACCCCCGTCTCGTGTCCGCAATCCAGTCGTTTTTATTTTTTAAAGTTGCGCGGTGCCAGCGGACCCGGTGTGGGGGCCTGCGATGCGCTGTGCTCACACGTCTTTGCTTTATGGGAGGCTCAGGGGTTTTAAGATGCGCCTCTGTGCTGGGCTGGGCTCCAGGTGAAATAGCAGCTGATGCAGTTTTCAATATTCAGAAGAACTAGGGAGCGTGGGTTGTAGATCATGGGGAAATGTGGTGTTACCTGGTTTGGCTTGTCGGGCTATTCAGGCATTGGGATGTGAGCCAAGGTCTGTTTGCTCTCACTAGAAATATGGTGTGGTCTGTCATAGCTCCTTTATGTTTGCTTTGCTGCTAAAGCGCCCCAGGGCAAAACTAGGAGCAATGATCATAAGCTTGTAGAAGAAGGTTTCAGACTGGATATAAGGAAAAGCTTCTTCACGGTTCATGTGTCTCTGGAATAGACTCCCAGCGGGGGTGGTGCAGACACCTACCCTGGAGATCTTCAAAAGGAGACTGGTCGCACATCTTGCTGGGGTTATATGACCCCAGCAGTCTCTTCTGCCCAGAGCACGGGGGCTGGACACAATTATCTCACATGGTCCCTTTTGGCCCTGAACTTCTGTGAATCTGTGAGTGGTCATTCATTAAGTAGGTGTGTTGTTCATGTGGAGAATAGAAATTAGCCACCACCCTGCATTGGGCTGAGTACAGGATGGTGAGCTTCCAGTGTTTCTTACATGTTTAAATACTTATAGGTATTTGAGCATGGAAAATAAATACCTTGTTTAACCTTTTTTTTTTCTAGAATGTTATGCTGACTTTTTAAAAGAAGACTTTGATGTAAAGGCTTACACTTCCCAGTCTATTCATCGAGCCATAATAGCTGAGCAGTTAGCAAAACTTGCTCAAGGAATCAGTCAGCTGGATAAAGAGCTCCACTTGCAAGTAAGTATCCTGCATATCAGTTGTTTCGGGGCAGTTGCATAGAAGTTGGTTTGAAAACTAAGTATCCTATTGGTCTCACTTGCATATCAAACTACTCCATGTTCTCAGCAGCTAGTGACACCATCCCAACATGCAGGAAGACTAGCAAGCATGGCAGAAGACCAGGGAACTCTTCAGTGAGCTAAAACATTAAAAGAAAGCTTACAAAAAGTCAAGACTTCGAGAAAGGACATGAGGGGTGGGAGGGGATATAAGAGTATTGCTTGAGCATGCAGGGATGAAATCGGGAAGGCCAAAGAGCAACTGGACTTGTGGGTAGCAAGGGACAAGAAGGGTTTCTACAAGTATGTCAGCAACAAGAGGAAGATCAGGGAAGGTGTGGGCTCTTTCCTGAATGGGGGAGGCAACTTAGTGAGAGATGATGCAGAGAAGGCTCAATGTCTTTTTCACCTCAGTCTTCACAAGCAAGGTCAGTACCCAGACTACTGCACTGGGCAGCACAGTTTGGGGAGGAGGTGAGCAGCCGACAGTGGCAAAAGAACAGGTTAGGGCAGGGGCAGTCAAAGTCCAATCTGTGGGCTGGATTGGGCTCTCAGCAGATTCCATTTCCCAGCAGCCCCTGCCTGTCTTACTCTGGCCAGTTTCCATAGAGACTTCAGGAGGCCCCATTGGGCCAGTGACAGTGCAGAGCCAGGGTTTCCACGGAGACCAGCCCAAGCAGCACTGGCAGGGCATGCGGCTGGATGGGGAGCTACTTTGGGGCTGGGATTTTGCATTGGTGACAGCGTGGGTCAGACCTGGGGCAGAACTCTGATCTGCTGCCCACCTGCCCCAGGCAGGGCATGCAGCCAGTGGATCATGGCTCTGCTTTGGCTTCAGTCTATGCTGTCACCGCCACAGAATCCTGGCCCTGGCCCCAAAGCAGCTCTCTGCCCAGCCATGTGCCCACCCAATGCTGCTTGGGCTGTTCTCCATGGAAACCCTGACCCTGCACTGTCATGCCCACTGCTCCAGGCTTCTCCATGGAAACCGGCTGGAGTGATGGATGGAAAGGCTGTTGGGGAATGGAGTCCAGGCAATGACCGGAGCTGTCATTTTGCCCACCTGTGGCTTAGGGACTATTTAGAAAAGCTGGATGTGTACCAAACCATGGGGCCAGGTGCAGTATGCCTGAGGGTGCTGAGGGAGTTGGCAGGTGTTATTGCAGAACTGCTGGCCATCAGCAGATGCATGACAAATAGAACCAGGGAGGTGATACTTCCCCCTAAGCGGCGTTGGTTTGACCGCAGTTGGAGTACTGCATCCAGTTTTAGTTGCCGTACTTTAAGAAGGATGTTGATGGACTCGAGAGGGTCCAGAGGAGGGTCACTCGTATGGTTGGGGGCTTACAGGACAACCCCTATGAGGAGAGACTGGGGCACCTGGACCTCTTCAGCCTCCGCAAGAGAATCCCGAGACGTGATCTTGTGGCCACCTACAAATTCATTAGGGGGATACAGCAGGGGATCGGAGATGTTCTGTTCACCAGGGCACCTCTTGTGGTAACAAGGAATAGTGGTCACAAACTGACAGAGAGCAGATTTAGGCTAGATATCAGGAAAAATTTCTTCACAGTAAGGGTGGCCTAAATTTGGAATGGGCTTCCAAGGGAGGTGGTGCTCTTTCCTACCTTGGGGGTCTTTAAGGGAAGGCTGGATAGGCATCTGGCTGGGGTCATCTGACCCTAGCACTTTTTCCTGCCTAGGCAGGGGGTTGGACTCGATGATCTGTTAAGGTCCCTTCCTACCCTAGCATCTATGATTCACCCAGGGGTTGGTTATGCCTGACCAATCTGATTGCCTTCTTTGAGATGACTGGCTCTGTGGATGGGGGGACCAGTGGGTATGATGTACCTTTAGCAAGGCTTTTGATACTATCTCTGCCAATATCCTTGCAAGCAAACTATGGAAATATGGGTTGGTTGGATGAATGGACTGTAAGGTGGATAAAAAACTGGCTGGATCATTGGTTTAAAATGGTAGTAATCAAAGGCTCAATTTCTAGGTGATGGCCAATATCAAATGGCGTGCCCCAGGTGTCAGTCCTTGGCCCTATTTTGTTTAATATTTACATCAGTGACTTTGAAGATGGGATGGAGTGCTCCCTCAGCAGGTTTGCAGGTGACGTCAAGGTGGGGTGGGGAGGGGAGAAGTAAATATGCTGGAAGTAGGACTAGGATCCAGAGAGACCTAGACAAATTGAAGGATTGGACCAAAAGAGATCTCATGAATTTCAATAAGGACAAGTGCAAAGTTCTGCATTCAGGACTGAACAATCGCGTGCACCAGTACAGGTTGAGGGCTGGCTGGCTAAACAGAAGCTCTGCAGAAAAGGACCTGGGGATTACAGTAGACAATAAGCCAACATGAACATGAGCCACCAGTGTGCCATTGTTGCCAAGAAGGCTAATAGCATCCTGGTCTGCATTGGTAGGAGTGTTGCCAGAAGATCAAAGGAAATGATTCTTACCAGCTGTTTGTCAGTGGTGAGGTCATGTCTGGAATACTGCAGTTTTGGGCCTCCCACTACAGAAAGGATGTGGACAAATTGGAGAGAATCCAGTGGAAGGCAACGAAAATGGTGGAGGGGGCTGAGGGACATGACTGATAAGGAGAGGCTGAGGGAACTAGGCTTATTTAGTATGGAGAAGAGGAGACAGAACGGGAATTTAATAGAAGCCTTCAGCTAGCTGAAGGGGGGTTCAAAAGAGGATGGAGCTAAACTGTTCTCAGTGGTGGCAGATGACAGAACAAGGAGCAATGGTCTTAAGTTGCAGTAAGGGAAGTTTAGGTTAGATATTAGGAAAAACTTTCTCACTAGAAGGGTAGTAATATATATCAGATATATTCTAATGTTCAGGAAAGTGAGATGCTGACAACCCCTGTCCCAGGTAGCTAGATTATAGCAGCTGATGTTGGCAATGTTTTGAAATGGGAGGAGGGGAAAGGGGGCATTTTAATGGAGCTTAGCACTGAGTGCAGAGCACTTCCAACTTGGCCTATGCTGCTGCCGCTGCAGCCACAGCTACTTTGTTGTCCTCTGTTAGACGCGCTCCAATTTGTCTACACATCCTTTGTATAGTGGGGACCCCAAAACTGCACACAGTACTCCAGGTGTGGCCTAATTAGTAGAGGTACACCAATACATCAGTATATATCATATAGGCACTGATAAAGGGAAAATGGACATTTTTGGCAATTGGCTTTTTTTGGCTGATGTGACTGATAATGTCACTGGTAAATGCTGCATGCATGTGTGCAGATGCAGCCTGCACACGGCCAGGAGTGCAGCCTGGCAGCTTGAAGAGCAGCATCCAGCCAGTAAGTCTGTGGGGGAGGGAAGAGGGTGTAGGGGGGCCGATTTGAGGCCCCCACAGTGAGGGAAGGAGTGGGGTTGGGACAGGCGCTGCACAGCTCATCCAGGGCACGGCTCATCCAGAGGGTGCAGTGGGGGCAACTCCCGATTCTGTGTGCACCCCAGGTGAAGCACATGCTGCCCTGGATCTGTGTGCGGGGTG